ATATATATATAAATATAAATAAAAAAAATGAAAGTGAGGCCCCATCCTGGCCACACGACAGACAGCTGTGTCTGCCCCATGGTCAGGAGGAGGTCTGAGGATCTCTGGGGATTCACATCACCTTTTTCCCTCCAAAGTCTCACATTACATATCGATCAGCTCAATGATTGGCTGAAACCCAATAAGCCCCTCCTTGGCCCTTGACCTGTTGTTCTGAATATAAAACACCTCACCCAGCCACTTCCCAACCCCCGCTCTCAGCACATTCCATAACCTGATCACACAGACACTCAAACACACTCCTTGGTTTAAAACTTCCTAAGTAAATATACTGTATCACATAACATCCATAATTAGGAGAGCTTTAAAACTTAAATTCCTCACAAGTGTTGACTGGGGAAATGATCCCTGCCTCCTTGCGGGTGTGTTGGTTTTACTAAAACATCCCTGACGGCGGTTATTCTTCAACCTGATTCATCCACTTTTGCCCTTCAATGCTTTATTATCTTGCTTTCTTAAAAACTTTTGCAATAAAGGGACAGTTAATTTATATTACAGCGTGCCATCTGAACTGTCTTCTTTTACTATAATATAGGAATGGAAGGTATAGAAAGTACATCGGTAGGAATTTGCTGTACGGTATAATTTTTTACTACACCGTGCTGACCGGTAGAGCCTAGAGATGTACTAATGGATCTGCTGTCGATTGAAACGGGTCGGTTTTCAGCTGGTCCACCAATCAGTTTCATATTTCTGATATTTTGCTGATCACATTTACAAATGAATAATACTTGTATGTTGGCACACAACGGCACAGACAGTAACCTCACAGCCACACACACCACATGTGTCACAATTTGTCACAACAGCAAGTTCCAAATAAGCTGTGTAGAAACACCCTCAGAAACATTTGTAACAAAGAACTTAATCAGACACGTATTTTATTGCAATTCATTCCCAGGCATGCTGCTCAGCGCAATGTGCTTTCACTTGCATGGTGCGTTCAAGCTCTAGTCAGTAAAAATGACTATCGGGCAAAGGCAAATTAAAATGCTATCATGGTGTGTTCAAATGCAATCTTGTAAAACAGTTTTTGGTGATGAACTTGAATAAATATGTTTTTTGAAAGAAAGTCAATTAATTCAATTAAATTGTATCACCAATTTCCCTCAGAGGGCTTTACAATCTGTACAGCAAAAGACATCCTCTGTCCTTTGACCCTCACAACGAGGAGAGGAGAAGGATTTTAAATTCTATTCTAGATTTTACAGGGAGCCAGTGCAGAGAAGCTAATATGATCTCAGTTTTTGTCAGTACACGTGCTGCTGAAGGGAGGGGCCAGGATTTTTTTTGGTGTTTGATACTTTCAAATTCTAGTTTACTCTTGCTGGTTTTTCCCAAATTGTCTACCCCAGCTTTATCCATAGCAACGTAGCAGATCAGAATGCTCAATAGGCGGTTTTTGAAGACAATGCTAAATTACGTTTTTGTCCTTTTAGGTTGGAAGAATTTTTGCATTGTCATTCATTTGTGATCATGTGTGCAGAGGCAGAGATTTGGGCAAAGCCTGTCAGAGGCCAATGCCCCTAATCAAAATCCCCAGATCTAGGTATGTTGACCATCCTATTTAATTTGTCTTCCTACCGTTTCTTCTCCCCAGGATTCAGACCTGGAGAAGGCCATTAACACGCTGGTCACCCAGTTCCACTCTGCTTCAGCTGACAAAGGTCCAACTCTGAAAACCGATGAATTCAAAGGTCTTTTGTCCTCCCAGTTGCCTAATCTGGTCAAGGTAAAACTGCTGGCAGTGTCATGTGCTTCACTCTCAGCTGGACCTGCTATTGACTACAGCAGTTGGGTCTGGCATTACACCTCACATTACTCACCTCACACAAAGACAAATTCACCAGCAGAGTCCCACAGGCCTCATACACACATATACAACCTATAGATTGTATAGGCTCAGTTAACATCATCTAAGTTGATTTCATTCACCATCAAGGCTTGTTAAAGTAGTTTACCTCTGAAAATGTGTTATTTGAATGTCATCATCCCTTTAGGGTTGAAAAATGGCCCCAATATTTGTGGCTTGCATAAATACCTTGTGTTTGGGTAATGTATGTTTGTCGCAAATGAAATAGCTGCTGTATATATGGGGATAGAGAAGTGGATTATGTTGTATATGGATGCTAAGTTTTGAAACTGGGTCACGATTATAATATAAATATAAATATTCTCAACTTTTCAGCGCCAGGCGCAGTGGCAACTCTCATCAATGTCACACTTGGCCCAGGCAGCCAATCAAATCGAGCAAGAGGCGGGCTTTACTACTTCACTACTGCCTTTTTGTTTTGATGCCGGTAGATTTGGTAGAAAGGGACAAAGGCAGATGAAAGGTTGATGTTAGCGGTTTTTAATTACAATGAACCATATAATTTCCCCCTCCTCCTCATTCAACAACAGAGCAAGAACCACAGCTTGATGTCTGCATTGAATCATTTTTTCCCTGTTATTTACATTTGATCGTCTGGGCTGTTTTTGAAGCGCCTGTTGCGATGCGTCTCGGTGTGAGTTTGCACTTTTTTTTTTCCTTAAAAAAATGCCTCTAGAAATTCAAAAAAGTATCAACATGTGCGGGGCTGTGAGGGGGGTCTAAGACACACCCGTGTAGTGTTTATCTCTGACTCAGTTGCTGTTACCACAGTAGCATTGCAATCACAGCCCAGCACAAGCTACTTTTCTTTTTTCTGTGGACATAAAAATAAAGCCATCAGCACATGACAAAATCTGATGAATCAGTGTTAATGACTGATCTTAGTTTAGTTTGCTAATTCCACCATGCTACAGTTACAGAAAATAAAAACCACCACATGAACTGCTGGGCGTGGTCTATGTTACCTTAACATGTAGCCTGACTTTACTGTTTTAACTTCCCGTTCATGATGGCCGTTACGCTAGTGCTAATATTTAGCGCTAATTGCTAAGGTTAATCACTAGCATGCTAATTAGTATGGTTAGGGTGAGGCTAGTGCTGTAAAGGGTCTGTTATAGTGGCAAAATGCAATATAAACTCATAAACATTTGTAAATTTGAGTTCACAAGTAAGGTCGGGATGATAGTTTGTATATAAGAAGTGGACGTAGTCGTCATGACATCACTTATTGGTTTGTGGACTGCTGTTTTGAAGCCTCAAGTCCGCCAATGTGGCTGTCGCCATCTAGGCATTTTTGCAATCAATGAACGGACATTATATATTTGGAATACGGTGGAGTAGCAACGCCGTATATGGCTCTGGTAGCGGGTCCAACCTGTCAATCACAAGGTAGCCCCGCCCTAAAGCATACTCTGCTTTATGGTCTATTTGACTCTAAATGGACCATAATGTACTAAATGAACATCATGCTGTATTGAAGAAGACTTGAAACTAGAGATTGAGACCATAAACCCATGTTTACAATGTTTACTGAGGTAATAAATCAAGAGAGAAGTAGAGTCACTTTCTCATAGACTTCTATACAACCAGATTTGTTTTTGCTACCTGAGGAGTTGCCTCCTGCTGGCCAGTAGAGAGAATGCAAGTTTTAAGACACTTCAGTGTTGGCCGGAGGTTGCCACCTGGTCAGGATATGTGTATGCTAAGATAACCATTGGCAGAAGCTATTCACAGGCTAATTGAAAGGGTAACAGCTACTTCACTACTTCCATGTCCACAGTCTGCAGAGTTGGGGGACATTGGTTTTAAAAGAGGGAGGTTTGTTGCTGACGAAAGGTTCATATACGTCACCTGGCTCCAGAAATTAAATTGCAATAGCTGGGTTTCAACTAGTAGAGGGTAGTCGCTATCAGCGTCGGAAATTCACGAGGGCAAAGGGCAAAACTGGCCCTAAGAAATGTAATTTTGCCCCTGATATCACTAGGAGAGGGGCAAAAAATGCCCCCGAACTTTCTAAACGAATAAATAAATGGAGCGCTTCTTAATCAGACCTGTGACTGCGAGACTGCGGTCAACTCAGCAGACACTTACATTTTAGTGCACCTATATGCTGACATTCACGGTACACTCATTCAAACGGCGCAGATCGAGAGCGAGCGAAGGACTTTGAAAGTTAGCGGAAAGATTACCGTGAGACAACATCCGGTTTCTTCAGACCAACATCCGGTTTTCAGAATAAGATGCCAACAAAGTATACACATTGCATAATGGAAATTAGATTAAATTAATTATATTCACATTAAGTATAAAACATGCTACCTGCATCTCGTGAGTTAAAGGGAAAATACACCTAAATTGTGCGTAAAGTGTCTTTATTCTTTGTTTTGAGGGTTGCTGGAAATGAATAATACCTGACTGACAGTCAATTAAGATATTTTACTAAGTAAAAACTCTGAACTGAATTTGTACCTTCAAATGGCACATTTTTTTAATTTTTAAGGTGCTATAAAAAAATTCCACACAATAACTAATGCATAAGTTCAGGACAAAAATGGGTAATATCACAATATTTGAGGTGCTACAAAAATATCTTTCTCAATAATTCTATACAATGACTGATGCATATGTAATCAAGGCATCGTTGACTTAATAGTTGTTATTAAAAATGTAATAACAATAAATAACCACAAAGCAATAAGAATAAAATTGAATATGATTGTCTGATTTATGTTTGTTTTTTGTTAAAAAAATCGAAGAAAACGCTTTGAATCTGTAGACTACTGCTTAATAGTCTTATTATTGCCATTTGATGACAATTGCTCATATACTGTAAGCCTAAATAAGTATATTTATTATTTTGAACAAAGGTTAAATGTTATTTCACAAGTTTCAAAAAGTGCCATCAATTTTTTGAAAATGCCCCTGGATTTCAGTCAGTGGGGGCAAAAATTTCCCCCAAAAAATATGTAAATGTCCTACCCTGGTCGCTATGCATACATAACACAATATGTAATAATTCAAATGCTTTGCACTAAAATGTCAAGAGCATCCTATGCAGGACTTATGCCCTTGAATGATGACCATGATTTGACTTTCATATATATATATATATATATATATACACATACTTCCATTGTAAACCCATTACAGTTTAGTTTTCCTGTGCAATGAGGGAATATTATTATTATATCCTGCCTCTACGGGAATCAGACATGCGAACTTCCAGTCTCAAGCTTGCTTCTCTAACCTTTAGTTCACTGTGGGGTTTTAACGATCTGTGGTGAATTTCTACATACCATAACTACCATTGAAAGAAATGTATTTCGTGTTTTTCCACCAGAATTACATTTCTGGAAATGTGGGAAAGGCTTTCAAACTGCCTTTAGATCATCAAATATGGAGATAATATCTTGTGTTTTTGGTGTCTGAAGTCTGGGTGGGGTTAGTCTGGCAAAAACTCCTGTTTCTTGCCTCATCCAACTTCTCTTTAGCAATGTCACCATGTTCCCAAATGTCAGCTTTGAAACTTTGGTGAGTACAATGTGAGAAGTGGAGTAATCCTTTATTGTGGGAGTAAAGATTTGGTTAGTGCCTTCACTTTCACAGTGAACACACAAATCATTTCTGCCTGTTTTTACTTTGCCCATGACAAAACAGATCGGCACAGACCAGGGTTTCGGTGAGATCCTGCGGAAGATGGGTGTAGGTGACGGTGAGGGCATCAGTTTCAAGCATTTCTGGAACTTAATCCAGTCAGTAGCCACCTCACAGCACGGCCTCCTCAAAGGCCAGACGGGCTCCACATGCGGCTGCATCCTCCTGTGAAGAGCAAACTCTGAGCCCAACAGATCAGCTCTGAGTTTCCACCCTGGAGTTTAACTAAAAAAAGTAACAATATGCACATCACTCTCCTAATCAGGTGTCGGACAGAATACAAAGTATAGTACAAAAATTACAAAAGTTGTGACTCAAACATTAGTTTTCTTTTTTTTTTTATTAAATAATGTGATCTGACAGGTTTCCACATCACACTTCTGCCAGTATACTGCCCAGCATCGTTTGCGTCAATTAAAGTGCATATTCAGTCTAGTATTGGTATTTACATTCTGCATGTTGCTTTATTTTTTAACTACAATTTGAACTGTCATACAATAATATAATATAATCATCTTCATACGTAGTACCAGATAACATCAATTTCTAGCCATTTGGTAATCATGAATGAAGTACTTGCATTGTGTATTTTATTCTACACACTCCACATGTTATTATAGGCAATCAAACTGTCCACATCAACATAACGCTCTGAAAGTATACCTGGTCGTACGCCTTGTCATCCATATCAACTTTAATCTTCAAAAGAAGTGCTTGTTGAATGGTCTAACAGCGACATCTGAATTTGACCTTGTGTGTGTCAGTAACAAAACGCAAAAGTGTACCTTGGATAGATTCTAAATTTCAGTATGTTTGACTTCGCAATCATGTGGTGAAACACCTCAAATTGTGTACCTTTCTACAAGTAATGATTTACACTGTGCGATCCTGCATCCACTGTGCATTTTCTATGTATTTATATTTTGTAATTCTCTGTATTCTGACCTGTGTGACACCTTAAGAAAAATGATGTAATAAACATACAAACATGCAATTTGATATTGTTTAATCATTTACTGATTTATAAGAAAGAAATTCCTCACAGCTTAAGTAGTATTTATGAAAAAGTGAGGTATCTGCTGTAACAGTTATGTTTTATTGCTTTAAGTACATTATCAGGATCATTCCCACTCGCTTATCTCTTTAGACAGTCAAATATGAAGCAGTACCAGAAAGCTGAAGCAATAGAAGTAGACTATGCAGCACTATATTGCAGTATCATATCAGTGTCAGGCAGAATACAACATCTGTGTCAAACCTTTCGGCATAGAAGAATACTAATAACTATGCAACAAAAACACAATGAGATGAACTACTGTGATCCAACTTTACTACAGCATTATGGATTTAAATTCTCATGGGAAGGGAGTACATCCTCTCTTGAGTTTCTTTCCTTCTGGTGTACCTCGAAAGTATTCAAGATAAGATGAGAACACATACTTATTCATGACTTTAACCCTCCCAAAGATTTCCAGCTCTGTTTGCTCATCATGGCCGACAGCATTCATCAGCTGTTTCGATTTGATGTACAGGGTATTTTCCTTTGCAACAACCTGATCTAACCAAATTTGTCTGTTCTGTGGTGCCATTTCATAGTTGTCAACAGTACAGCCGTAGAATCCTCGTCGCAGATGCTCAGGCCAGGGTTGGTCAGTCACCATGGGGTGGTCAACTCCAACAAACGCTGTGCACAGGGGACTGTCAGTCCCTCGTGAGCGGCCTACTTCACAACCTATGACACTCATAAGGAAAAGCGAGAAGGTTCTGAAGTTACACACAGATGATGAAAACACTGCAGCCATGAAGTAACGACCCCATCTCTCACAGTTGTAGTTACACTGCTGGAACTGGAAAGTCTGGCGACAGAAGTCATTGAATTTGGATGCTTTGAGACCCTGTCTCAGCTGCAGCAGGGAAAACTCACCCAGCTTCTCACTGAAATTCTGACGGAAATATTCAATTTCAGCTTGGTTGCCAGTGTTCATGAACTTGCCTGCCAGACTTACATTTAAATTTTTCCTGTGTACTTTGTAAATGCATTCATTGAGAACGTAGTAAAGGTCGGATGCAACTTCCTCTTTGGCATTGTATCGTATCTCCACAAGTAGATCATTAATGTTAATGATATGCTTCAAGACAATGTTGTTTTCTTCTGGTCCTGGCTCTGTAAGCCAAATTGCTTTCTGGAGTCTTTCATCTAGGACATAATCAGGAGCACGCCTTCTTTCATTCTCCTCAAAGAACAAGCTCCAAGTAAGCCCCTCCAGGCAATCTATAGAAGGGTACTTTTTGCGCAGTTCCATTGGAACGAACATTTGAGGGTGACTTGGCCAATCCAGTGTCTGAAGATACAAAACATTTCCTTCATAATTAGAAAACACTGGCCCTGCACAGCCAAGTTCCACTTTTATAAGCAGTTCACCTCTTTGGTCTAGTTCAGCAATAACGCTTTTGCTGTGGTCATGGGACCTCCAGACTCCATCAGTCCTCGTCATTATGTCTCCATCAGAACTAACAGACAGGAAAGAGTTGTACAGGTGTAGTTGAGTTTCCACACTGAGAGACCGAAGAACTTGTAGCAGCTGAAACATGAAGTGCAGGTTATTTCCAAGGTTGCAGCTGATGAGGCGGATTGTGCCAAGATGACCAAAAATGCTGTCAGTTGTTAAGGTTGACACAAATCTGGCAAGTTCTTCTGGGCCGTAAGCAGCTAGCTGGACTGTTCCATTGGCACCATTGCTGCTGTGGCCAACCAGTACGACATCATGATTTTTAGTAGAAAAGGAATGGCTTCCACTCATCATATGTAGCGCCCCCTTGTGGTACCTCAGCAAAGTTGATACAGTGAGATGCCTCTTGAAGAGGTAAGTGGCTGCCTCAATCACTACAGGGTCCTCTTCCATAATAACTATAGTCTGGTGGCTGTTTTTAGTGTAACCTCCTTCCCCAAAGGTCGTATGTTGTGGGTTAGACATCATTTCTGTCTCAAATGTGTCATGACCGAAAGTTAAACTGTCTGCCTGAGTCGAATAAACTGGGAAAGCCTCCTTAATGAGACAAGTACTTCCAACACAAGCAGGTACTGTCTGATTACTGGAACACAGTACATGAAAAACAGGATTCCAGCAGTCAGTGATAATTTGACACAATTGAGACAAAATCAGAGATTCTCTAAACCACAAATCTACTCTTGTGTTGATTATACTCATTAGTTTTGACTTGGTATTTCTGTCACTATAAGTTGGCCACTTTCCAGGGTCTCCAGGATCAGTGTGTAGTAGGTCAGACCTTGGTGGAATTCTCCAAAGATATGCCCTGGAAATAGATAAATGATATAGGTGTATTACAAGCCAGTGGATCAAATCAATGCATTCGCTTAAATTAGTAGGAATTGTAATATGTCCTCTGATAAGCACATTTGTGCAGTTTGATAGTGGTGATTTTTCAGAGACAATGATTTGAAGTTTATAGTGTTAATGAGACAATTTGTAGAACTTCACGGTGAGGGTTTGTTGGCATTAGGCCTGTAAAAAAGAGCTTCTTCCAGGTCCCATCACAGCTTTTCCTTCCCCCCAATGCAATGTTCACATTATGAGCATCAAAGCAACAGGCTACACCTACAAGGAGTGTTCAATGGAAGCCATGGACATGTAGCTACAAATTGACACTTGTCGCTGCTTGATGGTTACAAATTAATGTTGAGCTGGCCTCAACCTTTTTCAGCGTCATGTTTTTGTTTCACCATTTGTCGTTACCTTCTCTCTCCCCACAATTCCTGTTCTGTTACCTTCAAAAATAGAAGAAAACATATTTTTGCAGTGAGCTAGTGCCAGTGCTATTTAACAAAATAACTATGATAACGAGCGCTTCAGCAATACTTTAATGGAAACTTGGTGACATTGCTGGCCACTTTGCCTTTGCTTTGTCGCTCGTAATTGATACACATCAATCAATGATATGAGTCACTGATTCTACCTGATCACATGTAATCCTTTTCATTTAGTTGTAGTTCATCCTTATTCATTGTACTGTTTATCATATTCATTAATGCACTTATTTTGTTTATTTTATCGTTTATTCATTTATTTTCTGTTTTAGTTATGTAGTTAGTCAAATAAATATTTAATTTATAAAGAACTTGATCATTTGATTTGTGTGTATATGAAATAATAGGTCCCTGTATACCTTGAGAAGAACTCAACCCTGAGATTAAGATTTAATTGGTTAATATCAAATCTTGAAGTTTTCCCTATTTTCCCAAGATTGGATGGCGTCCAAAATGGAATCTTCCGTTAAATTCTGTTAGTTAAACTAATGGTGGGTTATGGCATAAGCTGTGTGCCATCATTCTTTTGTACTACTCATAATTGAATTAGTTATAATTGTTATAATAATAATTAGATTATTATTTATTAAATCTGCTACCAGCAAGAACGCTACATTCACTATCTTGCCATTCTGTTTTCAAAAGTAGTTTTATTGAACAAATGTAAGTCATAGTATCACCACAGCTGTGGGGGACATAAATGTACCAAATTTCATGGCAATAGTTGGTGAGATATTTTTATCAGCATACTACTCTGGAACAGTTAAATAATATACAAAGGACAGAGCCCTGATATGTGCCTGATATGATTTTAGAAAGGTATATCGTCCGTTCCTGTAACTCTGATGTTGACTGACAGAATAGTTTTAGTACAGATATGTATTAGTACAAATAGTACTGTAGAGTAGAGCAAAGACATTAACTCAATGTTATATTATGCAGCTGTTTCCCCTCAGAGATAATGTGAATAGTCATGTCAGGTCTATCACAAAAAAGCAGCAGTCTGTTGCATCATGTAATGTCTCACCTGTTTCCTAGATTAGAGCCGAATGGAGTCCTCTGAACACTCCAATCTGTAATGACAAAAAAGCTAATAGATAAAAGCTATTGTCTGATTCTCGTTCCACTGGTTTTCAGGCAGTTAGTGTAAAATGCTGCCTGGTGATGATAAGAGTAATCAATAGTTCTGCCCGAATATGCTCATGCATTGTAGGTCAAAACAGCCCAATGAAAAACTTGGTATGTCGATAGCTCACTAAATATGGACATTATAAATGTGAGTCATTTGGTTTTCCTGAGACTTCACCAAAATGCCACATACAAGGACAGGAATTAAAACAGCAACACTTCATTATCTACTTTCAAACTAAAGCTTATGAAAAAGTGTAATAATCTTACCAACATTCATTCCTGCTGCCAAAGAAAGCTGAACGATAATAACACTAAATCCACAGGGTTTCAGCATGGTTTCTCTGCAGAGCAGCTGAAGTGAAGATCAATGAATTCACCAGGCAGAGGAGCTTCAGGTCTAACCTTCAGGTCTTATCTAACCAAATCCACATTTGGTTAGATAAAAATGAAAATGAGAAGATAATGTTTACAACTGTACACTTCATCAGTTAAACATTACAAAGCTGCATGATGTGAACATCTTTGTCTGACTGCTCCACTTACGGTTTACTTCACTGTGTAAAACATGTACATTAGCATGGTTTATTTCTATTTTGATTGTGAATTATTATTGTTAACAGTTTAACTGAATATGTAGCTTAAAGAAAATTGTGCAGATGTGTCACTGAATACTAAAATGACAGATCCAGCTAACTGTTCCAACTTGCAGAACGGTTAACTAAGTGCATTCGTACAGGCTAATACAATTTAATATACAGTATGTATAAGAAGGACTGATACTGACCTCAGACATCCACATAATTGAATCAAGACTGGTCTGACAGAATCAACAAAAAGTTAACATTATGAGCTTCATAAGAGGAGAATATATTTCATGAGGTTTTGATATGGGGTCAGAGCAGTCTCAATATTAATGAATGCACACAGAGACAACATGTATTTTGTGATTTATATATAAATAACTCCACAAAAATATTTTTTAATGCTCACAAAAATAGTTATCGTTCTATATAAATTAGTGCTGGGCAAGTTAACGCGATAATAGCGCGTTAACGCATTAATTAATTAACGCCGACAATTATATTATCGCGTGTTAACGCAGTATTTTTTATTTATTATTAAGCGGACATTTTTAACACAAAAACGGGCAGCGAGTGGTGAACAGCTGCGTTTGTGTGGTGTCACTTCCTTCTGCTGCCGCTCTCCCCCCTACCGGGTAACACGCCAGATCCGGAACCGTCGGTCCCTCCAGTCGTTTCGTCACAGGATCAAACGTGACAATATCAAAACACATATTCTCGTGTTTTTAAATGAACATATAAGCACGTGAGAACAAACTGCTCTTTACTGCAACTCTTTATTAGCATAACTTCCACATGATGCACGTTACTGCCACGGTACAGACTACAAGTCTGCTTCACCTACATTCCCCTGGGTCCTAAGTCCCTCCATGTACAACTTCTTATCACCCTGTATGTACCAACATACATTTATAACAAATAAATGTAACAAATAAATGATTACGGTAATCAACGTTGCATAGTATGTGTCTGACCAAAATACCAAAAAAAGCAAAAAAGAAATAATTCATTTAAATTATTTTTTTCGAGTTTTTAAAGTTTTTAAATGTTTTGTTTGGAATATGTATAATAAGCATATCATTTAGTTATCGCTACTGAGAATTTAACAAACAAACACATGACGTAGATAGGTTTGCAGTTTTCAAGGTGTATATTTCAAATTGCATCTATTACACACACGAAAATAAAGTTGTGAACACCGGCTGAACATCTATTATCAGAATCATAACTATATTCTAACTGCTACTGTGTAAAGGGAATACTGCTATTAAAAAGCACCTTATTTGTTTAAAGTGTTTGCAAACCAAATGTTATTGCACTTTTGTTCATATAGCAGTACTTTTAAAATAAAAGTGCACAATACACTACTTTTGAATTCATTATTGAACTGTGCACATAACAATGCGATTAATCGCAATTAAAAATTGTAATTGTTGCCCAGCCCTAATATAAATGTAAACAAAATCCACAATTATTAAATAAGATATTCACAAATATTTCTTGTTTAAAATAAATGTAACAGAAATCCACAAATATATGTATTTAAAAGGATTCAAATTTTTCAAAATAACATATTTGGATGTTGTTACATTTAAATACAAACTGTTGAAGCTGCATTTACAAACTGCTTGTCATGTGTGAACCCCTGACATCACTCAATTCACTAATAGGTTTTTTCCAACAGGGAATTTTCTATAACCAATCAGATGTCTCCACCATTTTCTACCAATCAGGGTCTTTGCTATCGTCATACTTTGCCATGAGTGCTATAGTGCTGCTACCGTCAACGTTGACTGAAACCACAACTAACGTTTGCTAACGCTGGGTACAAACAGTGACAGTAAAAGGTGGACACAGTTCAGCTCGCTACTTTGTAAGAGGAGACATGTTCAGCCTGTGTTAGTTTGATGTATTACTTATTTGACAGCTGAATGAATTGCGTTAACGCTTCACAGGCTTACCACTGTCATACCAGTCACCTGCCACTGTCGGTAATAGCACTCTCTGTCTCTTCAGCGTTAGCGAACGTTGGCTAGCTATACGTTTGTTTTCCAGTCTTTCCTTCAACATTGTGGGTTTAAACTTTAGTCAAGTTGCTGTATCACTTTGTTTGGATTGTGTTGGGGATCTTCACAGACTTATCTGCCCATGTTTGGTGGTTTAGGGTGGGGCTTCCTTGTGATTGACAGGTCGCTACTATGGAGCCAAATCCAGGTCAATAATGTTGATCATTTGAAAAAAGAATGTGAACCTGAAAGTTCAAGTTGTGGTCTTGAACATTGAAAAATACAGCAATGTATTCAAAATAATAATAAGTGAATGAAATGTTTTTTTGGGTTGAATATCATTTTCATTCAGTTCTTATATTTTTCAGTTTCAGATTTTATATTTTCAGATTCAAATCTTTTCTTTTTCACTTTCAGATCGTTTTTTTTCAGTTCAGACTTTTGGCCCTGATCTGGTGTGGGGGGCGTGGCATCAACTGAGAGGGGCGTGTAAACATGAGTGACAGCATAATGAAGGCTGAGGACCTTCCTCAACCATGTTGCCTCCAGGCAACGTAGGTACCTCGAGAATTATGATTTAACACTTTCTATACACCATATTCACATAAATACAGTGGGGAAAAAACTGTGAGTGCCCGCTATCCTGAAGGAAATTTCGGAGGGAATCAGCTACTAGATGGTTCAATTAGTCTTTCGCCCCTATACCCAGGTCGGACGACCGATTTGCAAGGCCGCTACGGGCCTCCACCAGATTTTCCTCTTGCTTCACCCTGCCCAGGCGTAGTTCACACAGATCATACAGATAATTGACATTAGGATGTTAGGAATCCATTTTAATGTAGTTGTTATAGTTTAGGTAGTTGTGTTGTCAGGTAAAGGGCATAGTTACCTATATTGTAGTGGAGTCGAGGTCCTCGTCAGTGGCAGGCTGACATAGCTGCCATAATCAATCTAGTGCTGTCGCTGCCAGGACCACATGCTGCCTGTGGTCCATGAATTAAGCTGAGTATCACATATTTCGTGATTATTGTTGGTGAAATAAACACCAAGTTGGTTTGCACCGAATCTCTGTGTCAGTCCTCCTACTTCCAAAGTCCAGCCGCTGCGTGGACAGCCTAACACATGGACTTCTAAGTATTTATTTACTGAAGTCAAAGGTAAAGCTGTGTGCTTAGTTTGTGGAAAACAGATCTCAGTGTTTAAGGATTACAATTTCAATCGCCATTACGAGACAAAACACACGGAGAAATAGAAAAAACTTGACTGATGCAGAGCGGCACGGACATCTGAGGCTTTGCTAGCCAAGCTGCAAAAGCAACACGCTCAGAAGATGTTGGTTCTCTTTGGATCGACCGACATATGTGAACAAACATTCTCTGTGATGAAGTTTAACAATCCAGATCCAGATCCTCTCTCACTGACCATCACCTGTCAGCTGTCACATCTCACCTCACACATTCAGCCTGACTTCAGTCACTCCTTCACTGAACTGAAAAACAGAAAATTAGGTAATTGGTCTAAAAACAATAGTAATAAAAGTACTAATTAACAGAAGCATGATCCCTGTCAGTGTTCTACTATTTTAAATGGATATTACATATGTATATTTGTTTGGATCATTATTCCTGCTGCAGATGTTTAAGGTGGAGCTTATTTTAACTCCTTTATACTCTGTTGTTCAGTTTGGGTAGTTAGGAAGGGTTTGAAATTATAATGTGCAAAGTAACTAGTAACTAAAGCTGCCAGACAAATGTAGTGGAGTACAAAGTACAATATTTACCTCTGAGATGTAGTGGAGTGGAAGTACAAAGTTGAATAAAATGGAAATACTCAAGTAAAGTATCTTGAATTTGTACATAAGGACAGTACTTAAGCAAATATACTTAGTTACATTCCACCACTGATCATAATATTTACTCTTACCACTCACAGCTTATCAAAACCAAAAAATTTACTGCTTTTTATGAAGAGGTGGAATAATATTGAGCAGGATTGAGTTCAGTTTATTGGTCCGGCCCTCCACAACAGTCCCTGTTTCTCATGTGGCCCCTTGGGGAAAATAATTGCCCACCCCTGCTTTAAAACATGGGGGGGGGGGGGGGGGGGGGGGGGAGGCTACTGACCATTAGGTACAGTGCATACTGCACATACAGACCTGTGGGAACAGCCAAAGCGAGCATGTACAACGCCACCTATCCCAATCCCACACTAACACTACATAAACACCCCCCACACATCCGCTGAGGGGTGTCACAGTCAGCATCCTAGTCCCCCTCTGCAACCTCCAGACCTCTGTACTCTATAGTGACTATTGTATGTCGACAACAACACCCGTAGACCAGTAATTGGCTCAATGTCGCACATTGTAACAGTATTCTTTATTCTTCTTTAGTTTTACGGCAAAGTAGGACCAGCCCTATAAATACGTCCCTGGGTGAGTAATGACGTTGCACTCTTGGTCGTTTGAGTGTTAGAGTTTCCCTATTTGCTCTTGTTCTTTTAAAATGAACAGATGGGAGCAGGGGGGCAGATAAAGGCTTTCCTAGCGCACATAGCCTGTCCGGGCAGGGTGCAGTACTCCGAGCTATCTCACAAGACAGACACGTGAGGGATGCACTTCCTCAAGCTGATGATATAAACCTTCGATTTTAGAAGACCGAGGCAGAAGAAGGGGCAGCAGCAAGTCGTAACCTGTGTTAAATTTAAAATTAGATTTAACCAATCTCTGGACTTTTTGGCAATACACTTTGCTCACTGGTTTAGGTTTTATTATTTTTCTGGTATTGCAAACTTGTTGTAGACCAGTTTTTCTCTTAATTGGAATCCAAAGAAATATACTTTGAATTGAATTTAAAATAAACAAGTGAAAACTTAACAATTTTATACGGCTCCATCTTTCCATCTCGGAGCCATGAGAGAAGGGTATCCTCTAAGGCAGGCATGTCCAAAGTCCGGCCCGCGGGCCAATCACGGCCCGAGGTCAGATTTTATATCGCCCGCACCTTCTGTCTTAAAATGCATTATTTATGGCCTGCCAGCACAGTCAAAACGGAATGAATAAATCATACAAATTCAACATGCAATTCCTCTTTTTACCTCATGGTGGCAGCAC